CCAATATGGCCGACTTCCTGTTCGTCATAGGGGTGCACAATGATTGGCTTTTTTGGCTTGTCTCCTTGAGTTCTATCACTGCTCCGAATTTCGTGATCATACGCCAAAATTTGTGTCTGAGCCTCCAATTCATTTCAAAATTTTGAAATTTCAAGGGGGGCTGTTGAGTGGGGGGGCTTTGGACATTGTCGCGATGCCCATTTTATGAAATTTTTCGCCAGACCGGTCGATCTGGACCCTGGTTTGGGGACTTTTCGTCGACGTTCAGGCCCTCAAAATCGAGATCGTTTGCAAAGAAAAATAATAAATACAGCCGCAAGCGGCGATGATCGGCACCTCGCGCGCGCTTACGCCGCGCCCCGCAAACGCCGCGCCCCTCACACTGACCCTAATAAGCCTAAACTTAAACCTTACCCTAATCGTAATCCTAACCATAGCCCCAACCCTAGCCCTAAAAATCTTAATTTAATTTTCTGCAATTTTTTAAATTTGGAAAAAAAAAAAAAAATCCAAGATGTCGGACTTCCGGTTTGTAAAGGGGCGTGGTCACAATATACATTTTTGTTCTTATTGCCATGATGCATCTGGCTACCAAATTTGGTTTGGCTAAACTAGATCTCTTCCCATTTTAAACAGTAGGTTTAGGCTGTGTCTGCTCGTCTTCACCTACCAGTGCTTGGAGTTGAAATCTTCTCCTTCTCTGTTTGCGTGTGTCCACGAGAGCTGCGATCTGCAAATGAACAGAAAGTCCTCCTGTTTCACTCTTATACAAAAATGCTTTGTGAGTCACAAAGCTTTGAACATGACATGGCAGATTTAAAAAATCAAAGTCTTGGTTATCGTCTTGGTTACCACGGAACTTGGTAACCAAGACGATAGCAGTGAACCCAGAGCCAAAGGAAGAAAATGGACCTTCAAACTATGGAATTAAACTCTGGAAACTACAGAAACATTTCTTCATATGTAGCTGCAAAGTATCAATTCTGAGATTTGGGAATTTTAGACCCCGTTTACACTGAAACGAATCCACGTATCACCGTATCAGAAACAATCTGCGTCCAGACACGTCATATCTGTGTCCGCAAGCCTTCCCTATTCACACAGCTTTGAGCATATTTGTTTACGTTTTACAGAAACAAAACGTAAAACCACGTGTCTAATCTGCATTAACTGAGCGCTCAAAAAACTGCTCGCTTTTGTGCGCTGATGTGGTTCAGCTTCTGTCGGACTAAAGGACACAACTCAGTGGATTATCTGTGTTCTTTCTGTGACAGAGGGATCTTCTGCTGATGCTGACTCTGTTCTTAAACCAGGACTAAACCAGGTCTAAACCAGGACTAAACCAGGACTAAACCAGGACTAAACCCAAGCCTAAACTTAACTAAGTTAAACTAAGTTAACTTTGTTAACTTAAAGTGTGTAAACATTTTTTAACTATTTTTTGGGGGATTCTTTGCGCCCCTGCTGGCCAGTGGTGGGAAATGCATCATGTCCGTAATAGACTTTTTTGCTTGTAATCATGCATAGAATGTAATCCCCGAATTTGGTAGTAATCCGATAATGTTGTTGTTTATCTATGCTAGGGGGCGCTATAGTGTTCACGACCAGGCATTGTCCTACAGAACTCAAATTCAAATCACAATTGTGTGATCCAGGCCTGAATGTGATGAAATATGAAATTTAATAAAAGTGAACTCTATAGCGCCCCCTAGCATAGACATGAAACGTCAACATTATCAGATTTGTACCAAATTCGGGAATAAAATTCTATGCATGTTTACAAGCAAAAAAGTCCATTACGGACATGAGGTATTTTTCACACTTGGCCACCAGGGGCGCAAAGACTCCCCCCAGAAATAGTAAAAAAATCATTATATGCCCATGTTTAATCGGATCGTGCTGAAATTTGAATCAATGATGTGTGATCTCAGCCTGAATATAATACACTATAAAACATATGAAAAGTGAACTCTATAGCGCCCCCTAGCATAGACATGAAACGTCAACATTATCGGATTTGGACCAAATTCGGGAATTAAATTCTATCCATGATTACGAGCAAAAAAGTCAATAATTGTGCACCCCTATGACGAACAGGAAGTCGGCCATATTGGATCAAACATCCGGCACCGTTTTGACTTGGGGGTCTACAAAAAGATTCAAGTCCCCGGGGTTTGGTCCAAATGAGCTCAGATTTGACATGTCACATCTACAGACATAAACTCACAAAATTCATCAATTTTTTTTTGGGATAATCCTTACGGTTCGCCCGTAGCACGCCGGCGAATAACGCCTTCATTTCCTGTTTTTTCGGGGACCTGTCACGGCCACAGGCATTGTCCTACAGAACTCAAATTCAAATCACAATTGTGTGATCCAGGCCTGAATGTGATGAAATATGAAATTTAATAAAAGTGAACTCTATAGCGCCCCCTAGCATTGACAAACCTCAACATTATCGGATTTGTACCAAATTTGGGGATTAAATTCTATGCATGATTGTGAACTAAAAAGTCTATTACGGACATTGGGCATTTTTCACGGTTGGCCAGTAGGGGCGCAATGACTCCTGAAACATTTAAAGGTACACTATGTAATTTTTCTGGTGGACGAGCTGTCGGCCTCGGGAGCTGTCGGGAAGAGAGGGTGGCGTGCCGGGGCGGTCGCGAGTCCCCGGAGGTCGCGTGGGGGGGGCAGTGCGTGCCCGGGGCGAGGGCCACCATCGCCGCGCGCGGCTTTAATTATTATTATTATTATCATTATTTTTACAATATACTGGACTGATCTGACACTCTTTGTCTCTCTTTGTCTCCCTCTGGTGGTCATTTATATTTGGAATCTGTTTTAACCCCAGAGGATTTCACTTCCACATTTAATTTGAGGACAGCACAAGGGTTAAAAAATCAGCAACTAAAATTCAGAATAATAATTTTTTTTTCAAAGTTAGAAATTCAGCGATATTTAAAATTCTAAATTTAACAGAACACATTTTTTCATAAGAGTTTTCATAACGAACTCTGAATTTTAACCCTGTTTTATATTTGGTTTTTGTGTGTGTATTTATTTTTCTTTTTATGAGGCGTTTTTTAGACTTTTAGCCCAGAGTTTTGACTGAAAGGCCCATGTGACTGTTTTTACATCTGTTCTGTTCGTCACACTCGGACAAACTGGAGTCGAGTTTTGTTTCATTCACACGTTTCACACACAAACCTGCACATTTAGACAGAAAACACTCTGCTCCACCTCGTGATGTCATCATGTGGTGATACAGGAATTGCTCCACTGTGTTTTTAAACGTCCACACACCTTCACTAGAATAATTTTTGAATCATTTCAGTCCTGGAGTTGCTGATCTCGATTAAACTAAAGGGAAAAGGAGCTGTTCACTTCATGACATCACAAGGTGGAACTAGTTTGTGTGATTCAGGAGTTTTCCGACGTTAGTTCTTCTTTTTCAGTGTTTTTGTTTTGTCTTAATTGGACTTTTCTTTGGACATTTGAGGAACAGGGACTGATCCATTTGCACAGAATTGAAATAACGAACAAAACAAAAAAAACCAAAAACAACATTTGCTGGACTTTCTTGGAGTTCTGTTTCATTCCCTCGTGTTTCGGTCGGTCTCTTACACCTGCTGACATCATCAAGTGCTCACCCAGTAGTGCTCCTCTGTGTTTTTAAAGTCCGTACGCCTAAACATGACTTCATGTTCACTGTTTAAGGTAAAAATTCCTCGAGTGACGCAGCTTTTCACTTTTTCATTTTTTTTGTGATCACGCCAAAGCTTTTCGACTGTCGTATTTTTTGGACTAAAAGGTGCACTTGAAATCCTTTAATTTTCTCAAAAACCAACAGTGGACTTCAGGTCCTGGTGCAGGTCACACTGGGATTGATCCTGTGAAAAAGTGAACATCAAACCTCCATGTTTGTTTTCCCAGTGGGACGTGTCTATTGACAAAGTCGATCTTTTCAAGTCTTTTGAACCATTTCACTTTTGATTCTGGTTCTGATATTGTCATATTTTATTTTTGGGATTCGGACGTCGTAATCGTGTGGTTGTTGGATCCAAACAGCGGAAAACAACTCGAGAAACGGACTTCAGAATCAGATGTGTGTGACTCAAACCTCCGTTCAAACTGTTTCTCTTCCCAACGGAATTGAAAAATAGTGAAAGGTGAAGGTGATGGGCAGGATTGATCCACAGGAAGAACCAAAAAGGAAACATTTGTCTGACTAAGAAATCATCCCGAGTTTACAGAGAACATTTTGTATGTGGAGCCACGACAAAACAAAATCCTGTTTGTTAATGTAGAGGAGCAGAAGACAAACAGACTGAGCTGCACTTTCTTGTTCTTGTGGTTTTACACAAACATCACGTCTTGGTCTTTGCAGTGGAAGGTGTTTCTTGGTGAACAGTTGGAGACTTTCACTTTGGCGTCGACTTTTAAACTTCGTAACAGAGGTTGAACGACGGATCGGGATTTTTGTTTTGTCGTCGCTCCACGTCTGACCTCCTGCAGGTGAGAGGGTGTGGAGGTGCCAGGTAAACGAGTGCGTAAAAGTCCACAACTTTAAGTGCGCATGAGGAGAATGAGCGCTGCAGCCGCCTCTTTATAAACTTCTATGAGTTTATAAACTTCTATGAGTTTATAAACTTCTATAAATTTATAAGGGACCGACGCATTTCTGTGTCCCTGTGTTTGCCGCTCTGTCCTCTATGACCAGGTATAATTCTAATCTTTTAGCCCTTATTCATGAAAATATCCAGATTCCTAAATCATTGATCTTTTTAGTGTCTCTATGTGACTGTGAGCCTGACACCGCTTCACTGTCTCCACACACTGAGCTTCACAGCTGTTCTCCTGCGTCCTGGTCTTTGCCAACAGGTAATGAACGTCTCCTGCTCCTGTCCATTCACAAAAATGTCCAAATTGTCACAATTCATTTTTCGTAGTTTCTCTGCTTGGTCGTATCATTGCACCTTGAGTCAAATGCGCGTCACCGCCTCCACCTGCAGTGTCAGGTAACGCCCCCTAACCTCTTCAGTCATAAAAGTTCCAGATTCTTCCACATCTGTCCCCTGTAGCCGCTGCTCGGCTGCACTCGCAGAACCAGGACCTTTACACACAGTGATGCCTTCAACAACAGGATTCTGCCACTTCAACCAGAGGATAAAGAAATGTCAGAGTGCAGGGACGTTTGATAAAAAATGGAAATGCTGCTACTCTGACAATAACACGTCAATATCGGAGTGATGGTTCATCGGATCAGCAACTGTAAAGTTATAAGTTATGTTCGCTAGTAACACTCACCTTCATAGTCGTAGGTGAAATTTTAAAAAATTAAACTGTGTCCGTTGTCGACTTTGGAGCGAGCTGTGATTCAATGTTGATCAATGAGACGATGTACGTCAGAAAAGGATATTTTCAGTAAATTTATAAGGGATGTAGTTTATGTAAACAACTTCAGTTCGTCCATCATGAAGTTCAATCAACAGAGCGACAATTCACCGGAAGTAGGTGCACAAAGACACTGAATGCAGAAGTACTACGTATCAGCGTGATAATAATCTATAACGATGTCTGAATCAGTATCGATTAGGATCTTGATTTGACACTTGTTGCTGCTGCATTAGATGAACACAGACACAGGCAGAACATGCAAACTCCACACACACGGTTCAGAGGTGAAACTGTTTTTATTTCAGATGCTCTGAGGTAAAAACGTGGAATGGTCTGAGGTACAAGGAGAAACATCTCCAGAGTCTGGATGAACCAGGAGGATCTGCCCCGTCCTGCCCACAGAAGAGGCGTCCACCCTGCGGCGGGCGAGGGGCGAGGGGCGGGTCATGCCAGGGGCAGCTGGTAGAAGGCGGGGTACTGCCCGGTGACGTGGTGGTGGATCTGAAACACAAACGACTGAATCAAATCTGATCCTGACGTGTGAATGTGACGTTTCAACAAACCGACAAGTCCACAAAGCAGATCAGCGTCCGGTCTGGGGTCTGAGGTCTGGGACCAGGTCTTGGAGGTCGGGGCAGATTTTGAGGGAAGGTTTGGGCCGAGGTTTGGGGCACGTTTGGGGCAGGTCTGGGAGTGGGGTCTGAGCCAGGTTTGGGGTCTGGGGCAGGTCTTGGGGCGGGGTCTGGGGGGGGCGGGTGGGGGGGTCTGGGGGCAGGTCTGGGGGGGGGGGGCAGGTCTTGGGGCGGGGTCTGGGGGGCAGGTCTTGGGGGCAGGTCTTGGGGGGCAGGGTCTTGGGGGCAGGTCTTGGGGCGGGGTCTGGGGGGGGCAGGGTCTGGGCCACGTCTCGGGCGGGGTCTGGGGTTGTGGGCGGTACCTGTCTCTCGATGTCGGCCAATAGGCTGCTGGCGCCGATCCTGAAGAGCTCTGGGTTCAGCCAATCGCGGCCCAGCTCCTCTTTGACGAGCACCAGCCAAACCAGGGCCTCCTGCGCCGTCCTGATGCCCCCGGCGGGTTTGAAGCCCACCTGCACGACCAGACAGGTGCTACAGACAGGTGCTACAGACAGGCGCTACAGACAGGCAGACAGGCGCTACAGACAGGCGCTACAGACAGGCGCTACAGACAGGCGCTACAGACAGGCGCTACTTGTGAGAACAGAGAGTCGTGACGGCAGTGTGGAGAATCCCTGAGTTTAAAAGCGACGTTTTTACATCTGTGGGTCTTACAGTTTCATAATCCTCTCCCTTTGCTCCCTGGGCTGAGTCCCTCCCCCTTCAGAGCGCTGGTCTGAAGCACTAACGAAAGTCCTGCAGTCTAGAACCTCTTCAGACTCGGGTTTTTGAGGAGAAACGACATCAAAACATAAAGAACGACAGGAAAATGATTCTGTAGAGAAAGAATAAAAACCCCAGAGTCCTGAGTCCTGGTTTAGTCCTGGTCCAGTCCTGGTTTAGTCCTGGTCCGGTCCTGGTTTAGTCCTGGTTTAGTCCTGGTTTAGTCCTGGTTTAGTCCTGGTTTAGTCCTGGTTTAGTCCTGGTCTAGACTGGGTCTGGTCCTGGTCTGGTCCTCGTTTAGTCCAAGTTTAGTCCAAGTTTAGTCCTGGTTTATCCCTGGTCTAATCCTGGTCTAGTCCTGGTTTAGTCCTGGTTTAGTCCTGGTTTAGTCCTGGTTTAGACCTGGTTTAGACCTGTCCTGGTCCTGGTTTAGTCCTGGTCCGGTCCTGGTTTAGTCCTGGTCCAGTCCTGGTTTAGTCCTGGTTTAGTCCTGGTTTAGTCCTGGTTTAGTCCTGGTTTAGTCCTGGTCCGGTCCTGGTCCTGGTCCTGTACCTTGTGTCCGGTCCTGAGGTAAAAGTCTCTTATTGCTCTGGACATCACCACGGCGACGGGAATCGTGGCGTTTACAGATTCTTTCCCCGTCGACGTTTTGATAAAATCAGAACCTGAAAAAACAAACGATTAAACCTCCTCCTCTCCTCAGCGGGTACGTGTGAGCGGGTACGTGTGAGCGGGTACGTGTGTGTGAGCGGGTACGTGTGTGTGAGCGGGTACGTGTGAGCGGGTACGTGTGAGCGGGTACGTGTGAGCGGGTACGTGTGTGTGAGCGGGTACGTGTGAGCGGGTACGTGTGAGCGGGTACGTGTGAGCGGGTACGTGTGAGCGGGTACGTTGTGAGGGTACGTGTGTGAGCGGGTACGTGTGAGCGGGTACGTGTGTGTGAGCGGGTACGTGTGTGTGAGCGGGTACGTGTGAGTGGGTGGGTACGTGTGTGTGAGCGGGTACGTGTGTGTGAGCGGGTACGTGTGTGTGAGCGGGTACGTGTGAGCGGGTACGTGTGTGAGCGGGTACGTGTGTGTGAGCGGGTACGTGTGTGTGAGCGGGTACGTGTGTGACGTGTGTGAGCGGGTACGTGTGGGCAGGTACGTGTGTGGGCGGGTACGTGTGCGTGTACGTGTGTGTGGCGGGTACGTGTGCGTGTACGTGTGTGTGGGCGGGTACGTGTGTGGTGTACGTGTGCGTGGGCGGGTACGTGTGGGCGCGGTACGTGTGTGTGAGCGGGTACGTGCGTGTAGCGGGTACGTGTGGGCGGGTACGTGTGGCGGGTGTGTGGGCGGGTACGTGTGCGTGTACGTGTGTGTGAGCGGGTACGTGTGGGTACGTGTGCGTGGGCGTGGTACGGTACGTGTGCGTGTACGTGTGTGGCGGGTACGTGTGCGTGTACGTGTGCGTGGGCGGTGTACGTGTGCGTGGCGGGTACGTGTGCGTGTACGTGTGTGGGCGGGTACGTGTGTGTACGTGTACGTGTGTGTGCGGGTACGTGTGCGTGGGCGGGTACGTGCGTGGGCGGGTACGTGTGTGTGTGCGGTGGGTACGTGTGGGTACGTGCGTGGGCGGGTACGTGTGCGGTACGTGTGCGTGGGCGTGGTACGGGTACGTGTGCGTGGGCGGGTACGTGTGGGCGTGTGTGGGTACGTGTGTGTACGTGTGCGTGGCGGGTACGTGGTGTACGTGTGCGTGGGCGGGTACGTACGTGTGTGTACGTGTGTGTGTGTGTGTGCGTGTACGTGTGGCGGGGCGGGTACGTGTGGGCGCGGTACGTGTGTGCGTGGGCGGGTACGTGTGCGGTACGTGTGCGTGGGCGGGTACGTGTGCGTGGGCGGTGTGGGTACGTGGTGGGTACGTGTGCGTGGGCGGGTACTGTGCGTGTGTGTGGGCGGGTACGTGTGCGTGGGCGGGTACGTGTGTGTGGGCGGGTACGTGTGTGTGGGCGGGTACGTGTGCGTGGCCAGGTGCGGGCGGGTGTCTCACCTGCCATCATGCAGACCAGACTGGCCCTGTAGACGGTGGTGTAGGTGCCCAGCTCGCCCACGGCCAGGATGGACTTCATGTGGGCATCACCACAGGCCTCACGGAACTGCACCAGCTCCTGGAACAGACCTGAGACCAGAGTCAGATGCCCTCCCCGTGCCCCCGATGCCCCTCCCCCCATGCCCCCGATGCCCCTCCCCGTGTCCCCCGATGCCCCTCCCCGATGCCCCCGTGCCTCACCCTCCCAGTCTCCGGTCAGTGCCAGCGTTCTGTTGATGACGATGTCGATCTCGGAGGCGCCGTCCGCCACCGCCGCCCGCACCTCTGCCAACCTCGACGAGAGCGGAGTCTGACCCGCGGGGAACCCGGTCGCCACTGACAGAGAGAGAAAAGGAGTAGGAGTTGTAGCAGTAGTAGTAGTAGTAGTAGTAGTAGTAGTAGTAGTAGTAGTAGTTGTAGTAGCAGTAGTAGTAGTAGTAGTAGTAGTTGTAGTAGTAGTAGTAGCTAGTAGTAGTAGTAGTAGTAGTAGTAGTTGTAGTAGCAGTAGTAGCAGTAGTAGTTAGTAGTAGTAGTTTGTAGTAGTAGTAGTAGTAGTAGTAGTAGTAGTAGTAGTAGTAGTAGTATAGTAGTAGTAGTAGTAGTAGTAGTAGTAGTAGTAGTAGTAGTAGTAGTAGTAGTTAGTAGTAGTAGTAGTAGTAGTAGCAGTAGTAGTAGTAGTAGTAGTAGTAGTAGTAGTAGTAGTAGTAGTAGCAGTAGTAGTAGCAGTAGTAGTACTTGTACTTGTACTTCAGACCTGAGGCGACGGGGAGGTTGGAGTTTGCGTCTCTCAGGTTTTTCACGGCGTCAGAAACTCTCGATGGATAAACACAAACAGCAGCGACAGTAAAACCTGAAACATCAGAGAGACACGTGTGGTCAGGGGCTGTGTGTGTGTCAGGGGCTGTGTGTGTGTCAGGGGCTGTGTGTGTGTGTCAGGGGCTGTGTGTGTGTGTGTGTCAGGGGCTGTGTGTGTGTCAGGGGCTGTGTGTGTGTGTGTCAGGGGCTGTGTGTGTGTCAGGGGCTGTGTGTGTGTCAGGGGCTGTGTGTGTGTGTGTGTGTAGCTGTGTGTGTGTCAGGTGTGTGTGTGTCAGGGGCTGTGTGTGTGTGTGTGGTGTGTGTGTGTGTGTGTGTGTGTCAGGGGCTGTGTGGTGTGTGTCAGGGGCTGTGTGTGTGTGTCAGGGGCTGTGTGTGTGTGTCAGGGGCTGTGTGTGTGTGTCAGGGGTGTGTGTGTGTCGAGGGGCTGTGTGTGTGTGTCAGGGGTGTGTGTGTGTGTGTGTCAGGGGCTGTGTGTGTGTGTCGAGGGGTGTGTGTCAGGGGCTGTGTGTGTGTGTCAGGGGTGTCAGGGTGTGTGTGTGTCAGGGGCTGTGTGTGTGTGTCAGGGGCTGTGTGTGTGTAGGGGCTGTGTGTGTGTGTCAGGGGCTGTGTGTGTGTGTCAGGGGCTGTGTGTGTGTCAGGGGTGTGTGTGTGTGTGCTGTGTGTGTGTCAGGGGGGCTGTGTGTGTGTGTCAGGCTGTGTGTGTGCTGTGTGTGTGTGTGTGTCAGGGGCTGTGTGTGTGTGTCAGGGGCTGTGTGTGTGTGTCAGGGGGCTGTGTGTGTGTGTCAGGGCTGTGTGTGTGTCAGGGGCTGTGTGTGTCAGGGGGCTGTGTGTGTGTGTCAGGGCTGTGTGTGTGTCAGGGGCTGTGTGTGTGTGTCAGGGGCTGTGTGTGTGTCAGGGGCAGGGCCGTACCTGTCAGTGGCAGGTGCAGCGCCTGCAGCAGGTCGTGTGTGAGCGGGTGCAGAGCTTTCACACACAGACGAAGAACGTTTGAGGGAGAATCGTCTCCAGAGAGTGTGGTCAGATCTATGCAGGAGAGAGCCCTGAGCAGCCACGCCGCCTACAGGGAGAGACCGGGTTTAGACCGGGTTTAGACCGGGTTTAGTCCTGGTCCAGTCCTGGTCCGGTTTAGTCCTGGTCCGGTCCTGGTCCGGTCCTGGTCCGGTCCTGGTCCGGTCCTGGTCCGGTCCTGGTCCAGTACCTGCCATTGGTTCTTGGGGAGTCTTGTGTTGTGGATTTGTTGGGCTCTCCTCAGAACAGCCTGAGTGTTCACCCGGGCCGAAGAAACCCACTGCAGGTCTGAAACGGGTCAAATGCACCGGGTCACACACACACACGCACCGGGTCACACACACACACGCACCGGGTCACACACACACGCACCGGGTCACACACACACGCACCGGGTCACACACACACACACACTGGGTCACACACACGCACCGGGTCACACACACACTGGGTCACACACACACACCGGGTCACACACACACACGCACCGGGTCACACACACACACACACACACACACTGGGTCACACACACACACACACACACACACACACTGGGTCACACACACACACACACTGGGTCACACACACACACACACACACACACTGGGTCACACACACACACACACACACGGGTCACACACACACACACACACACACACACTGGGTCACACACACACACACACACACACTGGGTCACACACACACTGGGTCACACACACACACACACACTGGGTCACACACACACACACACACACACACACACTGGGTCACACACACACAATTAAATTGAATCAATTAAGATCCAAATAATTGAATCAGACAAACAGAGTCACGAGACTCAACGAAGTACAAATACACACACATACTGAACCAGGACTAAACCAGGACTAAACCAGGACTAAACCAGGACTAAACCAGGACTAAACCAGGACTGAACCAGGAGGTCTAAACCAGGACTAAACCAGGACTAAACCAGGTCTAAACTACTAAACCAGGACTAAACCAGGACTAAACCACTAAACCAGGACTCTAAACCAGGACTAAACCAGGACTAAACCAGGACTAAAGGACTAAACCAGGACTAAACCAGGACCAGGACTAAACCAGGACTAAACCGGACCAACAGGACTAAACCAGGACTAACCAGGTCTACTAAACCAGTCTAAACCAGGACTAAACCACTAAACCAGGACCAGGACTGAACCAGGCACCAGGACTAAACCAGGACCAGGACTAAACCAGGACTAAACCAGGACTAAACCAGGACTCAGGACTAAACCAGGTCTAAACCAGGACTAAACCAGGACTAAACCAGGACTAAACCAGGACTAAACCAGGACTAAACCAGGACTAAACCAGGACTAAACCAGGACTAAACCAGGACTAAACCTCTAAACCAGGACTAAACCAGGTCTAAACCAGGTCTAAACCAGGTCTAACCAGGACCAGGACTAAACCAGGA